AGTCCAGAACTTGAATATATTATTATTTGACGCTTCTTGTACCAAAATGTGGCATAAACCAAAGTTGCACGTTCAAATATCATTTAAGAAATTAAATAGTTTAGATGTTATCACTAAAGGGGCCTTAGTCATTTGGTTATTAACAAAAAATCAGTGGTATTTAAAACATAATCAGAATGAGCTTATACCTGCTGCCACTTTAATGTTTGTAATTAAACAAATGTTTTATAATATTTCAGAACAATTTCATATATAGCTTTGTTGCTTTTAAACTCAATTTCTCTAGAGACTTTTTTGCATACAATATTCAGACGTTTTCTCAATTAACAAAATAACGTCCTTTAGAATACTGTTTACAATGTGAGAGTCCTCACTTCTTTTGAAGCCACATTGAAAAGTCGAATAAATTAGTTTACACGAATGCGATAATGAACTGCGAATTGTTTTTGTTCGGGTAAAAATATTTGGTTAACTGTTTTTTCCATTCATGAGTGGCTAATAGTATAAAAACACAAAAATATAGCTAAAACCAAACTTTCATGATTAACCATCCACTGACGTCATCAGTGTTTCTTAGTTTTTTTTCATTGTACGCCTAGTCTTCTGTGTCCATTGTGTTTCCCAGAGAAACGGAACTACGCGCCTTGGGCGTTAGGATTTCTACATCTTCCGGTCCAAGCAGATTTCTTTGTGATCGGAGATCACGTGACCAGCATAAGAGCAAGCGGGCAGATAGGTAGGTAGGTAGGTGGATGCACTGGTGTGTATACACCAGGACAAGCTTCTCACGTTCGGATCTCGCGCTGCGTGCTTGAGACATCAGGTGGCCCGCCTGCTCGGCGTCCTCGTATGCCCTTGTCCCGCCATTATTTGGATTTTTTTTTTTATATATTTATGTAGTATTGGTGTAATACAGCATGAGTGCAAGTTTATTAAAATTACTTTTATATGATCAACCGTTTCTTGAAGGAAAATCACTCGATTTCTAAACACTGTTTTAAAAAACGCAGAATTAACTGGTTTAATGACGAAGGTTTGAGTCTGCTGTTATGAGTCATTGTGCCGATGGACGTTCGTGAGTGAAGTTACAATTGTAGAATACATCTTCGACAACGTGAACGATGTTTTGTGAAAGCCAAAACTAGCAATTGACTTCTTGTGCTGCTGGACCGTAGATATTGACCCATGAGGTAAGCAAGTTTTATTAAACACTCTTTCACCGTAGATATTGACCCATTATGTAAGCAAGATTTATTAAACACTCTTTCACCGTAGATATTGACCCATTATGTAAGCAAGTTTTATTAAACACTCTTTCACCGTAGATATTGACCCATTATGTAAGCAAGATTTATTAAACACTCTTTCATCGTAGATATTGACCCATTATGTAAGCAAGATTTATTAAACACTCTTTCACCGTAGATATTGACCCATTATGTAAGCAAGATTTATTAAACACTCTTTCACCGTAGATATTGACCTATTATGTAAGCAAGATTTATTAAACACTCTTTCACCGTAGATATTGACCCATTATGTAAGTAAGATTTATTAAACACTCTTTCACCGTAGATATTGACCCATTATGTAAGTAAGATGTATCAAGCATTATTTCATCGTAGATACTGACCACTGAGTTAAGCAAAGGTATTAAACACTATTTAATCGTAATACTGACCTATGAGGTACGCAATGTGTATTAAACACTATTTCATCGTAGATAGTAACCCACGAGGTGATTAAAATGTACATTATTTCATCGTAGATATCAAACTATAATGTAAGTAAAATGTACATTATTTCATCGTAGATATCAAACTATAATGTAAGTAAAATGTACATTATTGCATCGTAAATATCAACCTATGCTGTAAGTAAAATGTACATTATTTCATCGTAGATATCAAACTATACTGTAAGTAAAATGTACATTATTTCATCGTAGATATCAAACTATACTGTAAGTAAAATGTACATTATTTCATCGTAGATATCAAACTATACTGTAAGTAAAATGTACATTATTGCATCGTAAATATCAACCTATGCTGTAAGTAAAATGTACATTATTGCATTGTAAATATCAACCTATGCTGTAAGTAAAATGTACATTATTGCATCGTAAATATTGACCAATTATTATATAAGCAAGGTGTATTAAACACTGTTTCATTGTAGATATTGACCCATAATATAAGCAAGATGTATTAAACATGTTTCGTATAAAAAGAAAGAATGTACACATAATTTCTAATCAAAAAGTATTCTAATTGGAAAATAAAATACAGTTTGGACATTTTCAACAAAATTAAAAAGGGAGTAAGTACAAAATACATATTGAAGACATACATGTTTTCATTCACTTTTTCATTAACGGAAATACTTCCCCACACATTTGAAGAACAGCAGTTACATACGTATTGCTCTAGCTGTAACAACCATCTTAAGTTTTCTCATATTTGAAACCAACGGAACCAAAGCGGATGAACATAGTAATAGAATAATCATTAATAAGGGTTCATTCTTGGGTAAGAATATCATATGATAAACAGCAAAACATGAACATAAACTATATTCGAGCGTTACACATTGGGGTTGAGAATATAAAAGAAAACGGAAATATAATATACACAACTGAATCGGCTTTGAAACATTTGTAAACTTTGTTTAATTAAGAAAACAAGCTTTAAGAACGAACTTTGATTCGATGTGTAACCAATGGTCATCTCGAACATTTATTTCTTTTTTATGAGATACCGGTTAAAGTCTTGATATTCTCACTAAAACGTTTTTGTTTCTTATGTATCATCATTTTATCAAAATGTTTTCCAGATTGGTTTCTTGAAAACAGATGGCACAAAAACAAAGTTAAAACTTACATGCTTCTTATATATACGTATTATTAATTCAGTTATCGAAATGATAACTTCGACAGAAGAAGCAGAGACTGACAGTTTGAGTTTGAGAGTGATTTACATGTATAGAATTTTTATTTTTTGTTAATGAGAAGTGCCCTATATTAGCTCTTCTTTCCTTATTGCATCATTATACAGTTATCAAAACTTCAGTAATGTACTTTAGTCAAATGTTCGTTTGCTAAAAATACACGTTAACATAATTTTTTTTTTACATCTCCAGAAACATCTTGCAAATGTTGATAAATATATTATTTATATAAAAATGTACATTGTCTACGTGTCATTAGCTGTTTGTCCCAAGCAGTGGGATGAGCGCATAGATAGAGGTTCTTAACAAATTCATCCAATTAAAATAATTGCTAATCCCCTCTAAAAAAAAAAACTTATTGATCATGTGTTTTACAAGTTACTTCTGCATGTTCTTCTCTCTAGTTTTATTAATCACGTGTTTAAAAGCTAATATTTGTTCCTCTCTGTAATCTTATTAATTACGTGTTTTACAAGTAATATTTGTTCCTCTCTGCAATCTTATTAATCGTGTTCTACAACCTACAGCTTGTGACTCCCAATCTTATTAATCATGTGTTCTATAACCTGCAGCTTGTGACTCTCAATCTCATTAATCATGTACTCTTCTATCTACAGCTTGTGACTCTCAATCTTATTAATCGTGTTCTACAACCTACAGCTTGTGACTCCCAATCTTATTAATCATGTGTTCTATAACCTGCAGCTTGTGACTCTCAATCTTGTTAATCATGTACTCTTCTATCTACAGCTTGTGACTCTCAATCTTATTAATCATGTGCTCCACTATCTACAGCTTGTAACCCTCAAACTTATTAATCATGTGTTAAACATTCTTAAACATATTAAACATTCTTCTACATTACAATTCATTTAACTTCAGTGGATTCACATCGGACATTAATACTTTTACGAAAACATTACCTAACGTCACCGGTGGAAAAATCGGCGTATGAAAAGGAAGACTACAGGGCTAGCTAGCTCACTTTTTTCTTAAACGAATCGTACCTACATCAACTCGTTCATCGTGAACCTTCCATAAGATATCAAAGAAGTTCCAGACTAGAAAGAAGACTTTATGTTGTTTGTAAGTTTGTGAAACTTTTGTTTATAAATCATTATTTGTAATAAAAAGTTATTGTCAATTGTACTGTTGTGTGTATATTAAAACGTATTTGTGTTAAAAACGAAAACAGTGTGTATCAATCTTGTTGGCAAATATCGTAAACTGACTATGTATCGGCTTTAATTTAACTACTCAATCCAAAGCACTATTGAACTACTAAATTTAAAGTATCATTTAACTCAATTTCAGACCATTTGAAATTCTAGTACGTAACACAACTTACAACTTGTGACACTCAATCTTATTAATCATGTATTCTACAACCTACAACTTGTGACTCTCAATCTTACTAATCATGTGCTCTACAACTTGCGACTCTCAATCTTATTAATCATGTATTATACAACCTACAACTTGTGACTCTCAATCTTATTAATCATGTATTCTACAACCTACAACTTGTGACACTCAATCTTATTAATCATGTATTCTACAACCTACAACTTGTGACTCTCAATCTTATTAATCATGTATTCTACTATCTACAACTTGTGACTTTCAATCGATTGAGTGTCACAAGTTGTAGAGCACATGATTAGTAAATTTTAATCATGTGCTGTACTGTCTACAGCTTGTGACACTCTTCAATCTTATTAAACATGTGTTCTACAGCCTACCGTTTGTGACTCTCTCTTCAATCTTTTTCTCGTAAAATGTTTCTGATCTTCACAGAGATCAAGAAAAAAACACACCATGAACTGATCCTAAAGTTGTTAATGGGGGGGGGGGATTTGGTTGATGATACTTGTATGACGAGAAAAGCCATTAAATTCAATGATTATAGCTTTCTTTCGCTATAGTGAGTAAAAAAAATTAAGTTGAACGTTCATTGATTCCAAGGCCCGGCATGGCCAGGTGGTCAGGGCGCTCGACTCGCAATCAGAGGGTCGTGGGTTCGAATCCCCGTCCCACCAAACATGCTTGCCCTTTCAGCCGTGGGGGCGTTATTATGTGACGGTCAATCTCACTATTCGTTGGTAAAAGACTAGACCAACAGTTGGCGGTGGGTGGTGATGACTAGCTGGCTTTCCTCTATTCTTACACTGCTAAATT